GGACTTCGGTACACCATTTACATAAAATCGGATGAAAATATATATGAGAGATATATCTAAATCTGAACCGATTTTCACCAATTTTAATAGGGTTCGTCCTTGGGCAATTTAATAAACTGTACCAAATTTCATTCAAATCAGATTATAAATTCGACTTGTACTTTATTTACGATTTAACATCAACAGACATAATACCCTGTACCACTGTGTGCTGAAGGGTTAAAAACCAGGAAGGAAATATCAAAGTAAGACGTAGCCGACTATATGATGCATTCATAAAACTGGACATAATTCAGTACGCTGTGCAAAATTTAGTCTAAATCGGACAAATATTGGGAGTTCACATAAAATTGGACGAAACTATATATGGGAGCAATATCTAAACTATATATGGGAGCTATGTCTGGACCGATTTGAACAAAACTTCACAGACGTCAAACTGGACTGAATTCAGTAAGCTGTGCAAAATTTTATCTCTATTGGGCAAACCTTTTGAGTTTGGAGCAACATTTAAAAAAAATCGACGATGATATATATGGGAGCTATATCTAAATCAGAATCGATTTCAACAAAACTTCACATACATCAAACTTCAGTACGATGTGCAAAAATGTTGTTGAATCGGACAAATATTGGGAGTTTGATGCACCTATTTTTCATAAAATCGGTCGAAAATATATATGGGAGCTATATCAAAATCTGAACCGATTTTCTCCAATTTCATTACAGTTCGTCCGTGGGCCAAATTAGTGAGCTGTGCCAAATTCCATCCAAATCGGGTCAAAATTTGTAGTATTTGTCGACCTTTTCTCTTTAATTTCTTGAACCGGACTCCAAATACCTTGGGGTCTCTTTTAATTTCGATTTTCGGTACCCCATATACCGTCGATATTTTCGTCAATTTCCAATATTCATTACTTTCTTGGCATTGTTTTTTTGTTTTGTATTTTTCATGACATCGTCAATCGATCATTAACATTTTCGAACATTCAAAATTAGATCCTCTGCATAGTTCTTCACATTCATTTACAAATTGTCAATCTGTTGACAGATGCAATCTTTCACGTACATACCTACATACATATGAACAGGCTGCCAACAATTTTCAAATTGATGAATTTCTAAAGATTTTCTCATTAAATTTCTGCTTCTTGTTTTCATTAAAGGTTCCAATGATGATCGTAAGAAACGTCCACGTACCGCATTTTCGGCATCCCAAATTAAGGCGTTGGAAACGGAATTTGAGAGAGGCAAATATTTATCGGTTGCCAAGAGGACGGCATTGGCAAAGCAATTGCATTTGACCGAGACACAGGTAATTAAAAAATTTTGAAATTTTTTTCTTGGTGAAAAAAAGGTATTTCTTCTGATTTTTTGGATAACAAATATTTTTTTGAGGAGATGACCTTAGAACTTCACTATTCATAAATCTGAAATACAGTATACTAATAATTTTCTTTATTTTTTTCAGATTAAAATTTGGTTTCAAAATCGTCGCACCAAATGGAAGCGTAAATACACCGCCGATGTTGAGACCCTAGCTTCGCATTATTATGCCCAATTGGGTATTGGTGGCTTAGCGCGTCCCATGGTTGTAGGAGATCGTCTATGGCTATTTAGTCAAACACCCGCTGGACCAGCACCACTACAATCGATCATGCTAAATGGAGGACCAGCTGCCAATGTTGGTCCCCCTTTGACTGCGGCCCAACTCAGAGCCTATCCTGCCTCAAATCTCTTACCACCCGTACCGAATCCCAATGTCATTGAAAGTGCCCGCAATGCCATATTGGCACGTGGACAACCATTAAATTACACTCTCAGTCCATATCTGGCACAACGTTCAGCCGCTGGCACTGCTGCCACACCATCGTCACGTTATTTAGAATATGCCGCCGGTACTCCATCAAGTCTATATCCAAATTCCCCTGCCTCATGTAATGATGCCTATCTACAAATGAAATATAATGTTTTGAATACAATTAATACGCCCGAAGCGGATACCACAACACCGACTTCAAATGGTTTGGCTGAATTGGAGCGAGTATTTGGTGATACAAATGCCAATTTCCTAGAACACAAAGCCAATGGAGAGAAGAGTGGTAAAACATCATCAGATTTTGGTTATAATGGTCTGGCACTGACACAACGTGCCGGTAAATCGACGTCGGGCAACGACAGTGATTCCGAATGCAGTGAAATTGATTGTGAACAAATTGATGATGAATGAAAGCAGGATCGGATCGGAATTCTTTATTTATAATTTAGTGAAAATAAAATGTTTATTTAATTTAAGACTTTGTATAGTTTAGTTATTTTGTAATTTAAATTATTTACATTATGTTATGTGTTTTATAAGAAAAAAAGAAATAAAAAACTAGTTTTGGTAAAAATTTCCAAGTGGTTTTAACGGGTTTATTACGAACTGTTAAGGTTTAAAGGATTCATTCATTACAACAAACAGCAGTATAAAATTATGAGCATACTTTTAGGCGATAAAAATAAATGTACATAAAATCAGCTCCATAATGGGTATTCATGAAAATAAATAAGGTCAAAAGTCGGACGGGGCCGACTATATGATACCCTTCATCACTTTCATCAAGTTTTGATAATATGTACAACCTCCTGTGGATAGAACAGACTTAGCATCATTCATTAGCATCTGAATCGATTTCATCAAAACTTATCATATATCAATCAACACCTAATTCACTACGCTGTGCAAAATTTTATCTCAATATCTCAATCTCGTACAAATATTGGCAGTATGGTGATCCATTTACCTAAAATCGGACGAAAATATATATGAGAATTATATCTACATCTGAACCAATTTTCACAAAACTTCGCATAAATCAATCAAGACCTAATTCAGTACTCTGTGCAAAATGTTGTCTCAATCGGACAAATATTGGCAGTATTGTGTTCCATTTACATAAAATCGGACGAAACTATATATGGGAGCTATATCTAAATATGAACCGATTTCAAAAAAACTTCACGGACATCAAACTGGACCTAGTTCAGTATGCTGTCTCAATCAATATTTTGTCTCAATCGAACAAATATTGGCAGTATGTTGATTCATTTACATAAAATCTGAACCGATTCCATACATAAATAAGTATCTAATTCAGTACTCTGTACAAAAATTTGTCTCAATCGGACCAATATTGGGAGTTTGATTTACCATTTACATAAAATAGGACTAAACAATATATGGGAGATATATCAAAATCTGAACCGATTTTCTCCAATTTAAATAGGAAAAAATCGAATGTATTCTGAGTCTTCGTTTATTTCAGAACCGTCCTTCAATCTTTCCTTGGGATTAGAAAGATATGTTATGTATTTCAGGAAATTTACCGTCGTTTGTAGTCAATTCTGACTTCACAAATTCCGGATCTTCGATTGGTAGATGTTAATTTTTTGAATTCTCGTCCGGTCGATCTGCTACTAGGAGCTGATCTCTGAATAAATGAGCTGTTCCAAATTTCATCCAATTCGGATCATAAATGCGACCTCTACTTTGCACACAAAACTGTACAGACGAACGGACATGCCTAACTCGACTCAGAAAGTGTTTCTATGCTTATTCTTAAAGGGAACCATGGGTCTATCTCTATTCATTTTGCCTGTTACAAACATATTCACAAAGAAATAATACCCTGTACCACAGTGTGGTGAAGGTATAAAAAGAACAAATGAACCCTCCGGACCATAATACGCACCAATTTTCTGCCAGAAAGTCTTTTATATTCTACGAATCCGAAATTACAGCCACATCGGTTGGCGGAATCTATATCTGACCATTTTCAGCAGAAACGCCTTGTAAGAAGCGAACATGACAAATTATCATCCGATATATTTGAACATGCTTTGAGGACCTTGAAAATACCAAATTTAGAAGGACTATGTCAAGTCATAATCCCATGTTCAAACCCCTTTTGAGGAAGTTTCTCACCCGCTAATAACCGGGAATATAAAAATACTGTCACTTAAAATATCAAATATGGGAAGGAGCTATAATATGGGTGCTAGAACAAAACCATGACCGAAGGCCTTTTTTCAATAAAGGATCATAAATTCTTCTTTCCTACAAAACCGGGAGGCCTTCTTCCCATAGGAGCCCAGAAGATATTCCTCCAAAATAAAACCAAAAGTTCTTCATTCTTAGAAGACATTTTCCATAGAAGACCAAAAGGCTTTTTCCCATAGAAGACCCGAAGAGCGAATGGTCCTCTTCCATAGAAGACCAGGATGTCTTCTAACATAAAAGGTTTTTTTCCTTAGAAGTCCAGAAGGAATTTTTTCCATAGAAATCTAGAAATCATTTTTTATGTAGCGAACACAAAATGAATTATTAAAAAATACTTTTTTTATTATATGTATAACTTTGTTTTATTTTCATTTAGTTTACTCTCTTTCTATATATATTTATTTTTTTATATATATTATATATAATTTCTTAACAGTTTTACAGCTACAACATTGAGATTCATTAATTAAATATTAATATAAACTGTATAAAGTAGTAGTCAGAGGATTTTTTATAATATTTTTTGTTTTTGTTTTGTTTTTTTTTTTTTTTGACAAGAGGTGGTGGTCGGTTATTTTCTTGATATATATTATAAATGTTATAATAAACGAAACTCAATATCGAAAATAGGAAAAACTAAAGAACTTAAAATGCATAAAACAAAACAATAACTATTTATAATAAACAATAAATACAAATTTAAAAACTATAACGTGGAAATTTTACAGTGTCATTATTATTATTAATTATATTAAAAAAAAACAATAAAACAAATGCCTTAAGTAGGTATATTTGGTTGATTGGTTTGTTGTTGTTGATTAATTATTAATTGGTGTTATTAATTTATTTCATTATGTAGATTTATCAGTTGCTGTTGTTGGTTTGTTTGTTATGTTATTTTTTATCTTGCTTTACATTATTAAACCTAAAAAAGGAATCATCATTGTTTCAGATATTATTTCATATGGACTAAGACTATGATAAACTTAAAATAATAAAATTCTGTTAGCTCCAGGATAGATCGTATCCCTTCCAATTGACATTCGGTGCTAAATAGACACGTCGTTTATTGTGTACAAATGAAACAATGCCATGGTAGGCTGTTCGTGGTACTCCACTCTGTAAAGAAGAAGAAAATGTAAGAAAATTTAAATTTATATAAATGTAATTGATTGAGAAATGAAACGCATTTTACGTCTAATGGGATATGAACATCGAATAGAGGTAAGAATAAAAATAGTATATTCAAAAATATAAATCTATAATACTGAACAGCAATATATGTAACATATTAGGAGAATCCTCCTCATACTGTTGGCGATTGTCTCAATGTTACATACTTTCTTATAAAAATTAAAAAAGACTACCTCTTTCTTAAGTATTTTTTATATTATTTTTTTTTTTTAATTAAAACTAAATACTCACCTTAAAATCATCCATTAAACCTAACATTTTTGTCGTCCGCTTGTATACATCTCGCGAATTATATTGTATACGTACGGGTCCATCTCGTGTTATGAGATTTCGTCTTAATTCATCATAGGTAACTACAGGATACGTGTAGACTTCTTTTAAGAATGTCCGATCATAATTATCCTATAAATGAAATTAAAAGTTATTGAGATTTTGAAATCAATCAAGTGGTATATTAGGTGCGACTCACCTTTAATAGATAACTTAAATTCATTTTTGTAAATGGAACAAATTCTTCACTTAATTTTATGTAACGTAGATATTTATCAAAGAACAGGCCGCTGTAATGTAAAGATAAAATATACAAATTATTAACAAGTTTTTTATGATATGATAAATGAGTCTCTATACAAAGGTCAGAGGTATGAAGCAACAACGAAGATATCATGTGCTGTTGAAAATTTACTGATAAATTACTATTATTATAACAATTGTTAGTAACAACTGTCCACTCGGAGACTATTGTCCCATGAAATCATTCTAGTAATCTTCTCCGCTGGAGTCCCATTTCGAAATGAGAGATCTAATCCTGCAGTGACCTGTTATGATCCCCACAATGATTTTGATCTCTCTCTTATTATTTGCCAACAGTGAAGAAATTCTTAGGCGAGAGAATTGAGGCCAGACAGCTTTGAGATTCTGCAACCAGATTCTCTCGTCCATCTGTTATCGACTACCACGCCGCAGAACAAACGGATTTTGCCAATGAAATAGCCAATGGGTGGTTGCACTGATCTCTCAATCGGAAGATTGGACGATTGTGAACCCCTTCTATGTCACTATGTCCTGAAAGTTTGTAGTACACCACTTCAAAACCTTGAGGGCCGCCTGTCTATCGATTATATAGTCACCGGTCCCGTATTATGAGTTGTATATTTCTAATACCCTACAGTAAACGCCTACACCAGTGCCTTCCTCCATCTTTGACCCTCTGTGAAAAATGACAGCCCTGGCAGAGGTAAAGAGCCACTAGTTCAGGATTCCCTACTAGGAAACTCTACTTTGATGTCATTAAAGTCTCTATGAGAGGGAGGGGATCACAACCTGGCGTTATGTTGAGGATACTAGCGTGACCATAGTTCAGCGATTTCCAGGCATCCGTTTCTCGGAGCCTCAGGGCACATCTGGCCGCCAGGAACTTTAACAGAATGTCCAGTGGTTGGAGATTCAGGATCGCATTCAAGGATGCCTGTGGTGTACTTCTTAGCGTTCCGGTAGTCAGGATCGAAGCCGATCGCTGTACTGAATTTGTCAGCAGTATCTTTTTGTTGATCCCCTGCCACCATCCAAATGTAAGAATGGGGAGAACGAACTTTGGTCTTAGTCCCCAGTCGCCTTTTTCCTATGGATTTCATGCAAGAGTAGAGTGCGATCAGTCCTTTCTTAAAGCGTTCATCAACATTCCTATTCCACGGTCCAACGGGTCGTGTCAAACCATACACATATTTTCTGCGAGGAACTGGAAGCCCGATATTCGACTAATACGGAACGTTGATTCCCAATTTCTTTGTGGCCCAAACGGACATGAACGTCACATACGGCTCATACAACTCCGTCGATGGATTAAAAGATTACAATTCTTTCTCAAACTTACTTTGATACTCCAACTTTGCCAAATGTTTGTGTCCGCGATATTTCCGGTCGTATGCAAACACGATTTTTTCTTTGCTCTGGATGTCTGATCCAATCGTCCCAGAAACTAAAATTGAATTAAGAAGAGATAACAAAAATGTAATTTTACACTAATTTTAACGTTGGAAGTAACGGTTTACTTACGACTTAGGCCATTTAACAGACAATTCCTGCCACAATTCTTTTGTCAACATCCAACCCAGACCGGGGAAGAAATCGGTACGATATAACAATTCTGGATGCGAGGTATCAATTAGATTTGCTTTACCATTGTCATTCCATGCGGAAACGCACCTATAAATATAGAAATGCTTGGGTAAGTACAATACGCCAAAATAAATATTCATTTGAATATTTTTGCACTTCTTTCGACGAAGTTGCAATGGAAGAATACATTCTGCTCTTTTATAAAAGAAGACACCTTTCTGACATTATATGAAATCTTTCTGCTTTTCTATGAAATGACCCCTTTTGGGCTTCTATGGAGGAAACCCTTCTAACCCTTATTGTACGAAGAAAATGTTTTGTTTTTCTATGGAATGAAACGATAACATTGGTTTTCTATGAAGACAGACATTTAATATTCCATGGAAGAAGGTCTTCTGACCTACTATATAAGACGATCTGCAAGTCTTCTATGGAAAAAGGCTCTCAAGTGTACCATTGAAGAAAGCTTCCAGATCCATGGCTTCCAGATAACATTTGAATCGGATAAATGAAAATGTTTACAATTTCGACAAATGATATGTTTTTACTGCATTGTTGATATTTGTTTTTGTAGCAGTTTTATTGCTTTTACACATTGGTTTGGCCGTGTAAGACTCGGGTCGTAGACTACTCTGTCGTGGAAACGGTTGATATTTATGGTCGGGCTTTTATGATGTGGACATTTTGTATCTAATCGAACACTTTCTCTGAGAGTTATCTGGCGCACTAGCTAGACAAGCGGTCACTTATGGTCTAACTTAATTTTGAGTAAAACAAAGATTAAATAAAATTTTTTCCTTTACGAATGGTTTCACGTAGAATGATCCACGTATTCAATTCATATTATAATAAATACGATTTGTGTAGTACAGAATAAGTCTTCTAAACTAAACGATAGCGTAAATTCTCAAAAAACGTACTCTCATTTGCTTTCTTTCCTCAGTAAGTTTTGGTGAAGAATTCGCAGTTACGCTCAACTATACATACTCTCAATTTAGTTATGCCCACAACTGTTCTAGAGGGCCCTTTTAGTTAACCATATATTAATTATAATTTATATTTACCACAGTGAACTATCTTGCTTGAGTAGATGATGTGTACCCAAGAAGTATTCATAGAAATCTGGCGCTACATTTAAATCATCCTCGACAATTATCACAAATTCATAGCCTTTACTAAATGTGTGATTCAGTGCCCAGCCATAGTGACGTGCAATTTTATAATATCCCTTGAATTTCTTTTCCTTGGGTGGAACAAAGATATCCGATTGATCGGGCTGTTCAATGAGGCTAACCTGAAAAAGGAGAAAATTTTAAAATTTAATATAAATCATTATTAATATGAAATATTCTGAAACAAATAAACAATTACTAATATGAAATATTATGATGTTTAAGTGATTTTTTATGAATTCTCTAGGAATGCGTAGGCAGTCCTATTTTATGTGGGAAGTCCATACATTTCGAGATATGGGGCTTTAAATATTAGGATAATACTTTGCTTAATTGACTTAGGCTAGTTTAAGGAACGGCCATGGATAGTTTTGAACATTTTATCATATACCCTTTGTGTCTTGGGGAAGTCCGTATTTCCGGAGATATGGGTTTCCATAAGGAAATTATTATCATCCATAAGAAAATTAAATTTTTGTAATCAGAACTTAACCACATTGTATGAGTGAATTTTAAAAATGAGGTAAAATAAAAGGGTGCAAGCTGAATTCCTGAGGCTCATATCTTCGAAAATTTCAGATTTCCACAAGACATAATTTATACCGTTGTAACCAGAATGGTAAACATTTTTAGACGATCCACAATTCAATTCAAATTCAAAATTGCATCAAAACTGAATTTTGACTGTATGCAACAGTTCATAGGAGGAATGTTCAATATCCTGTCAATTTCATCTATTTAAAACCAGTAAGGAAAGTAGTAAAGTCGGACTGGGCCGACTATATGATACCCGATTTTCACGAAACTTTGTGCACGTCATTCTACACTTAATTCAGTACGATATGCCAAATTTCGTGCAAATCGGAAGATATATAGAGACTTTGGTGCACCATTTACATAAAATCGGACGAAAATACATATGGGAGTTATATCTAAATCTGAACCGGTTTTCACGAAACTTAGGACAAGACACTCTTGACTGAATTCAGTGCGCTATGACAAATCCAGAGAAATATTGGGACTTTGGTACACCATTTACATTAAATGGAGCGAAAATATATATGGGAGCTATAGAGTAACTTCTGGTAATGTGGACCATGCGTCAAATGTGGACCACCTCCCATATCTAAGAAAATGCTTGAAATGTGCCAATGCCGCCTTGATAAATGTTTTCCTAATTAGTGAAAACAAACATCAAACTTGGTTTTTAATAAATAATTGCAATGTTGAAAATTTAGTAGGTGAAAATGTAGCTCTGATTGTAAAAGTGTGATTTGAAAATTTTTTAGCACAATAGTCGAACGATTTTGTAAAATAGTCGAACATTTTGTTTTTCTCGAATATAAAGAGGTTATGTGGGTTTCTTGTTTTCTTTAACAAAAATACACGGTTATCTGTAATTATTTTCGGTTATTTTTAAATTTTTATTCATTTTTAAAGCCGATAATTATTTTTAAATAAAAATATTCAATGTCGGGTAATGTGGACCACTATAAAAAAGTGGGACATTTTCATGAGGACGAGTTCGAAACAAGGGCGCATTTAATATGCGAGGAGGTATTCTATCCCCTGAAAACTCGATATCCGAAATTATATGTGCCTCGGTTGGATAATGAAGCAAGGACCTTCAAAATACCGCAAATGGGGTGGTACCCTTAAATGGGGGCAATTCCAAAACATGGACCCATATATTTTTACATTCATTGTTACCCAAGAGTGCAATAAATTGAAATTAATCACAATTAATCCACAACCTACCTTTAACTTACTGATCCTCATTACCCACACATACTGGTCCACATTACCCGCCAAGTTATTTTTATTTGCAGTTTAGAGTTTTTTGAAATATAATGCAATAACATTTTTATGGACAAATATATATAATTTTTGACCTGGAATATAATTAGCCAACAAATCTACCATGCTGTGAAAACAATTTGTTTTTATTTTTTACCGTTGTTACGCCCACAATATCAAAAAAAAGAAAATGGTGGTCCACATTACCCGAAGTTACTCTACCTAAAACAGAACCGATTTTAAGGAAACTTAATACACATCATTCTAGACTTAATTCAGTACGCTATGCCACATTTCGTGCAAATCGAAATATATATATAGGGACTTTGGTACACCATTTATATTAAATCGGACGAACATATATATGGGAGCTATATCTAATTCTGAACCGTTTTTCCCCATTTCAATAGGGTTCGTTCTTGGACCAAATAAGTGTCTGGGGCCAAATTTCATCCACATCGGATTATAATTGAGACCTGTACATTGTTTACAATTTAACATCTACAGACGGACAGGCATAAATCGACTCAGCAAGTGATTCTATGCATATTCTCAAAATGAACCATGTGTCTATTTCGTTCGTCTTCAATCGTATTAAATGCATACCTTCGTAAATTTCAAATTGATCCGATCCCTAAACATGACTTCTTCATCTTACGTCCACACTTACCTCCTTGTCATATGACAAGATGACATTACGCGTTGCCTCATCACCACAATCCTGCGAAACAATTATCGGAAACTGCTCCGCACTGGGACGATATTTTATGAGATTATCCAGACATTTTGAAATGGATACACGATTACAGGCAAATACCAATACCGGTATGACAGGTTGATTATTTGCAAGTCGTGTTATTACGGTCGTAGGCACTTCTGTGCCATGCTGTTGAGGTGCCTGTGTATCATTCGGTGTCTCGAGGACTTCTTGCTGAGCCTGTTGTTCTTCCTGCTGTTGTTGTTCCTGTAACAACTTGTCATTTGATGGTGGCTCCTGTAGACTTAAAATAGTTTGTTGTTGTTGCTGTGGATTATTATTAGCTATATGCGATTCTTCATCAGCTTCCCCGGTAGGTTCATTTAAATATTTCGATTGTAATATACCCAATAAATTGATCATTAACTTATCGGTTTTATGATATTCCTCACGGGCATTTTGTTCCAATTTGTCAATGGTATGTTGTCGTCGATTTTTGAGCAGGGGGAATTCACCATTTGTCTTGGGCATAAAATAGAAAATGACAAATGTCCAGGTGACCAGAAACCCGGCAATCATTAATATTTTACGGGAACGCATTGTGTTCTGGGGGTTTTGTTTTTTCGGTTTTGTTATTTGGCAAGTTGTAGTTGGGAAAGTGTGGGTGGGGAGTTCGAAAGTACTTTTCTAAATTATTCGAGTAAACTATTTGGAAAATAACAGCATTGCTATCATTAGTGAATTTTTGTTTTGTTGTTATTATAAATTATAGATATTTAGTCCATTCGGCTGTTCTGATTGTTTGCTATAATTATTGTGTTTGCGTGTACCTTTTGCCCACCACTAGCCAACTCACACTTTCGACGGCATCTCATTCCACCATTCAACAACTGTTGTCTGTTTGATTACTGATTTGTATTGCTGATAGCAGTTTTCGTTGCTGTTTTTATTTTTAAGTATAAAACTTTTTTATTACCATTCTGTTGTTGCTGTTGGCTTCTTTTGTCAAATGTGTTGTTGTTGTCGTTGTTCAGTCATTATTCGGTGTTCCGGTTCTGCCGCTTCTGTTGTTGTTGATGATGATGATATTCTGGAATAGTATGACCTTTTAACTTAATTGATACTTTCATATAAAAATTAATACTCGATGTGTCTAGGTCACCTAGGGCTTTCCTTCGTTATTAACCTTTACATTTCCACGCAAACACACGCTTCTGGACAACCACATCGCAATAATTAACTAACAGCACACAGAAAGATCTCCCCAGAGATTTGCCTCATACAAAACAACTAAGCCCTCTTGTTGTTGTTGTTCTGTTTGAAAAAAAGACCACCTCCACGTCTGCTTTGTTGGACGTAGCACCTTCTGTTGACAATTTCAATTACAGTTTCTCACATCCGAAATGAGGCTGCCCCTAATCTATGATATTTTTGTGTTAATTAGTGAAACTTTTCTCAATTCTTTTGTCTTTCTGTTGGCGTTGAGGAGCTGCGTTCCATCAATGGTAGTCCTCTGTTCACTTGATAATTTCTCGGCTCTCTTGAATCAATTCTCCTTATTTCTTATTTTTAATTTAATTTGCATTACATCTGCCGTCATTAATTGAATTTAAATTTTATTATTGTTTTGTTTTTATTTGTAAAATTAACAAAAATATTTGCAATTTATTTCCTTCTTAATTTCTATTGCACACTGCTTTGCCATTTCACTTGATAATAAGCGAAGTTGGTTGTGGCCACATTTGAGCCGAACGAATTAAAAAGCGTTCCACCAGCTACGAATAGTGGGAGTTAGTAGAGAATAGCTGATAAACAGTGAACTCAAAACACAATTGGGGACATGTTTACGAATGTGAGTGTAATGCATAACTGCGGATTGTTTGCCTTGTATAGAATGGGGAAATGGAAGAAGTGGAAAACAGCTGTAAGGAGTTGGCAATCAGCTGTTAGTGAATTTGAGTACTAAGTACTCATATGGGGTTGCTGCAATAGGTTGCCGTTTGAGATGTATTCGTGTAAGTTAAAAACGTTATTTTTTAATCCTGCGGAAAAATGCAAAAAGTGAGTGAAAGTTAGGGTTATTGTTTTCGTTGTTTCAAAAGTATGGGACTGGAATTCGACATCTGTCAATCTTTGTTTATAAACCAATTGTTTCTCTTTTGAGTTGAAAGTCTGGCATTGAGGGAAATTGATCGCTATCTCATAACGAATAAAAACTATCAAAACCTACTAAAAATGGTGATTCTAACACAACCATATATCGCGCTTTAAAAGAATTTTATGGTTTACATAATTGTCCAACTACTGGAATGTTAATAAAAAATTGTCGTATTTGGGGTTCCGAGAATTCTCAGTTAATTTAAGAGAGGGGGTTAAGTCATGTTTAGGGGCTCCACTCGGATCGTTTTGAAATTTTTACCATAGGTAGTCCTCGGAGAGCTGAAAGTTCGGAGAATATTTTGTTTAAATCAGTCGGTTTATTATTTCCAGCAAGGCAATATGGCCATCATTTTAAAGGTTGCGGATAGTGTTTTAAAAGTAAATGAAGAATACATCATTATAATGTATATCGACGCCTCAAAGTATGGGAGTTTCTTATATCTTACGTGCCATGCTAAGTACATTTTTGTTTATAACTTTGGTTTGGATTGGCCGATGATTACCAAAATTTCAGGGAATTTGAATTAAGGACCGTAGTATCTAAAAACGTAAAGAACTTTAAAACATGCTAAGATTCCTTTATATTATTCTGAAATTGCACTTAGAAAATGATTTGGATTGCGTAGTCATGTATGTGCCTTTCCATAGGTTTCAGGACCCGGCCGAAGGCTGCCTACTTAAAAAACCCTCTAAAAATATATATCACTGTAATCAGCTCAAGGATGACTACTCACGGTAAAAATTTCAAAATGATCCGAGTGATGTCCCTAAACTTGACTTGTTTCAGGAGAGGCTGAAAATGCACTCTTTGGCCCTTACATCCTCGAAAATGACGATGAAACAGATGTCACCATTTCCTGGCGGCATAATTTCTTGTCGTGGCAATATCAACGGGCCAACAAGATCGTGCGATTTTACACCGTTAGACTTTTTTATGGGTTTGCTCGAAAGACCGCCTGTACCCCAGAATCCCTAAACCATCATCATTTCTTTTAATACTGCCGATGGATATTGGGTTCTTCTATATAATTTTCCAGTATTTCGGAAAATAACATTTTTTCAAGATAAAACTTTTCCAAGGATTCCAACTCAACCGGTAGTACTAAATTAAATTAATGCACATCAGACACACATTTTCCAACAATCAGAGACTTTGATGCGGATGAGCAACCTCAGTCAATGGCAATTTAATCTCTGTTAGAAGACCTAACAAGCTACCCAAAACTGATATGGGCAATTAACACTTTTCAACAAATCTCCTGGACCAGATTTTATAATACCTGAAAGGTGGAAAAATCCAACAATGGTTTTAATAGCAATGATTGATTTCCAGGCCAACTATATAGGAATTAGTCTCCTCCACTTCGCATATAAAGTTCTATCCAGCGTGCTGTGTGAACGACTGAAGCCAATGGTTAATGATATTATTGGCCCATACCAATAATATCTTTAACCAGACCTGGCAAATCGACCATATTTTCACACTGCGCCATATCCAGGAAAATACCCACGAAAAACTCATCGACACATTCCACCTTTTCGTCGACCATAAAGCCGAAAACGTTTGAAATTCTTGCAAAATTAAGCGACAATGAAGGATAACTTTAACTGTTACAAGGTTAGCAGTTAAAGTCGAAAAGGACATCTCGGAGTCCTTCAATACCGAACGAGGGTCAGTCAAGGTGACAGCCTCTTGTGTGACCTTTTTAAACATCCTGCTGGAAAAGGCCATACGAGAGGCAAACGGTACTCTGTAACACATGTAACTCGCCTACGCCGATGGCATCGACATTACGAACGGTAACAGCCACCTTTGAGAAGGAGTCTGCCAAAGTGGGTCTGGCAGTAAATGGCGAGACCAAGCTGATAGTATCAACGCGTAAGACGTCTAGTTCACTCGGACCAACTGTGGAACATGAAAACTACAGCTTCGAAGTAGTCAAAGATTTAATATAAATCGGTTGATATTCGGTGAAGGATAGTGTTGGCCAACAGATGCTACTATGATGTGAGTAAGAAATTCAAAAACAAGGCCACCTCTCACCAGACTAAACTCACACTCTACAAGACGCTGATACTACCCGTGCTGGTGTATGGACAAGCTGAGATAAAGTGTTTGAGAGAACAATTCTCCGAAAGATCTACGGGTCGAGCTCGAACCACGAGCTTTACCATCTATACATCGACAAAGTCAGTCGTATCAAGCTGCAGCGACTACCGTGGCTATTCTCAGCCCTCAGCCCATTGTGTAAAAGCAATAGGGCTGCTACAACAACAACAACCGTGGCTATTCTATTTTGTGCGAATGGATGAGGATGCCCAGCTCAAAAGGCATATGAAAGTGAGCCTACTTATGGTTCACGCAGGAGGTCAAGGTCACGAATTCGATGGAAAGATCAAGTGAAGGATGACATATCTAAACATGGTCTTTCAAATTGGAAAAAAACTGCACACAAGATCGACGCGCCTGAAAATCTTTTTTAAGTTCGGCTTATCGAACAAATGTTCGGTCTCGAGTCAGCTAAACAAAGGAGAGATTTTCAGGGCCTGTTATGTTTACCAAGTCTGTGGAGAGAAGTAAAGGTGACTTTTATTCTCAGGGCGGGGCAACTTAGTCACAGTTTACCGAAAGACTACAGACCGAATAGCCTTTCTTCCTTTCTCTTGAAAACAATGTAAAGGTTATTAGATTTTGGGATCAGAAAATCATTGAACTTAAATGAAATCAGTAAATCTCAGCACAGCAAATCTATAGACACTGTTTTACATGAAGTAGTTGGGCATATTGAGATAAATTTGTAGAACTCCAACTTCGCGTTGGCGTTTTTCCCGATAAAGAGGGAGCTTCCAACAACGTTAAGATGAAATTTGTTCACTTAGGGGATTATCCTCTTCCATGGTGGATTGGATTGATGTTATGTTGAAAAGGAGGATAATCAATGCAAACATTTGGGGAGAGCTCCATAAAGAGGACAGCTCCAAAGAGGCACAAGGCGGGGTCCTGTCACCCTTGTTTTAACTTCTAGTGATAAACGAGATTCTTCTTCACTTTGACCAGTTGCGAACGAATGTTGTGGCTTATGTCGATGATTTTGTAGTCCTGTTTAAAGGAAAATTCACACATTATGCAGTGTGCACTAGTATGCTTCAACCCCGCACCAAAGCACCAAATTCGAAAATTCTTCCTACCTACAATAGATGGCGTAGCTCCGGAACTCTTTTTGGAGGCAAATACATGGGCACCATCCCAGACATCCGTTTATCGTCGAAAAGGAACATAGATGAGCGCACAAAGAAAGGCCTAATAGCACTGTACCCTTGCAAGAATTTAATTGGGAAGAGCTAATAAAAAATCTTCAGCCAATTGATTTATTAACTCGTTTTCAGGCAACCAGAAGCGCATTTAGAATGAAGGACATATGAGCATGGTGAACTTCACACGATGGGAACGCAGTCCGCACGGCATTACAATAGTATGTCAATAGGAAAAAAAGAAATAAAGGCGCTTAATAGCATACAACTAGGATCCGATTCAGATGAATTGTATAGCTATTGCATTGTGAAACAAAATTCGTACTAGAAATGATATGACAGCCCAATCCATCGCTGTGTAATTGTAAGTTGAAATTATATACAGGCTTCGGATGAATCGTTGCTACATTGTATTTGGTCTCAGTTGGAAGATGTATGGGTAAAAAAATTCGCTGGGAATGTCCTAAACTTGACAGGAGATTGCGAAAAGAACACACTATCGTTTTTTTGTAGTTAGTTTTTATTATCATTAATTAAAAATTTTCAAAGCTTTACAATTAATTAATATATATTTTTGTTTTGATTTTCATTATTTTTTTATTATTATGGTTTTTAATTATATAAGACTTACTTAAATTTTAAACTTAGTAGACTAGTAATGCTTAATTTTAATAGAGGGCAAAAGTAGTATGAGGTCTGTTAAGAAAATAAATGGTGGTGTATTTATATTTTTTTAAATTTTACAATCAAGAATTTTTCGGATTTTAAAAATCAGCTTTATTAACAATCTTGCTTTCTGGGTGGAAGAACAAAGTTTGCCAAGGAAATTAGGATGTAAATTATCCTTTTGGATTAAAGGATAATCTAAGTTAGACCCCTTGATTATTTTATAGGTCATATCACTTTGCATCCTAAATTATTATTATTTTTAGTTTATTTCTTATTAATTTCAATTTATTTTTTTTAAATGGCAGTTACATATTAAGCAGTTATAGTTATTCAAAATGATTAGAAGTTCCATTTTTCCGGTTGAGATTAAAGCAAATATTATAAAAAAAATTATTAATATTTATTTATATGTTTAAAAATAATATTTTTTTTTATATTTATTGTAAAAGATTTACAGTATTTATTTTTTATGAGCTTGTGTGTGTATCTGTCTATTCTGTAAATATGTTTGTGTCAATTTAACAAAAATATTACGAATGTTTTTTTGTAAACATTTTCATTTTAATAATTTTGTTAAATTAAGACCGTGGGAATGTTTCATTATTTCTGTTGAGAGGGGGGCGGAATAACTTTACAAAAAGAAATGGAATAGGTTTCTTTTGTTTTTGTTTTCTTCTTTCACAATTCCATGTCCACGCTTTACTCTTGAGGTTTTTGTTTTTTTCGTTCATTTATTTACAAAAATTTACACAGCATTGCTACAATTGCGAAGACGTATATCCCACTTAAGGTGACTGGGGCAGCGGTTCGACCAGCATTCCGTGCCTGTTCCAATTCTTTTTCGTCGACCACAAATGCGGGTACAGATAACGGCAGTTGTTCATATGTCTTCACCAAGGGTTCATTGAAATGTCCGCGACTGTTGCGTGCCAAACGTTGATTGGCCAATTTCAATTCGCGTAATTTCTCCTCCAAGCGCAAAACTTCATCTGGAAATTAAAAAACAAATAAGTTATACAAATTATTAAAAAAAAAATAAATAAATAAAAGTAAGATTTAAAGATGAGAATAAGAAAGAAGATTAAAAAGCAAACCATCCAGGCATGGAATTAAAAAAAAAAATACTCGTTTCTCCAAAGCCAACACTTTTTATAAAAAAGAAGTCAGTTTTTATAAAAATTATATTTAAGGTGGCCATTATTAAAATTAAAATTATTATTAAGGTCATTAAAGCCAACAAGGCGTAGATTTTTTAAGAATTATTTTCAAGACCGCCAACAAGTTGTGGATTTTTTAAACATTATTTTTAAGGGCGTGGATTTTCAACAAAAATATTTTTAAAGGCGTGGATATTTTAAATATTATTTTTAAAGGCATTGATTTTTAAAAAAAATATTTTAAAGGCGTGGATATTTTAAAAATTATTTTTAAAGGCATGGATTTTTAAAAAATATATATTTTTTAAGGCGTGGATATTTTAAAACTTATTTTTAAATGCAGCCAATAAGGCGTGGATTTAAAAAAAATATTTTTAAAGGTGTGGATATTTTAAAAATTATTTTTAAAGGCATGGATATTTTTAAAATTAGTCTTAAAGGCATGGATATTTTAAAAATTATTTTTAAAGGCATGGATATGTTAAAAATTATTTTTAAAGGCAGTCAATAGGGCGCGGATTTAAAAAAAAAAATATTTTTAAAGGCGTGGATATTTTAAAAATTATTTTTAAAGACGTGGATATTTTTTTAATTTTTTTTAAAGCCTTGGATATTTTAAAAATTATTTTTAAAGGCGTGGATATTTTAAAAATTATTTTTAAAGATGTGGATATTTTAAAATTTTTTTAAAGGCGTGGATATTTATTTTTTTTAAATGCGTGGATATTTTAAAAATTAAATTTGAAGACAGCCAATAAGGCGTGGGTTTTTTTAAAAATTATTTTTAAAGGCTTGGATATTTAAATTTTTTTTAAAGGCGTGGATATTTTAAAAATTTTTTGTAAAGGCGTGGATATTTTATAAATTATTTTTAAAGGCGTGGATATTTATTTTTTTTTAAGGCGTGGATATTTATTTTTTTAAAGGCGTGAATATTTATTTTTTTTAAGGCGTGGATATTTATTTTTTTAAAGGCGTGAATATTTATTTTTTTTAAGGCGTGGATATTTATTTTTTTAAAGGCGTGTATATTTTAAAAATTATATTTAAAGACAGCCAATAAGGCGTGGGTTTTTTAAATTTTTTTTTTAAGGCAGCCACTAAGGCTTGGATTTTTTAAAAATTACATTTAAAGACAGCCTATAAGGCGTGGATTTTTATACCCTACACATCTATGTTGTCAGGGTATTATAGCTTTGTGCAGCCCCAAAAGTTTGTAACGCCGCGAAATATCGGTCCTAGACCCACCTTTAAGTATACCGATCGTCATATCTCGACTAGCTGAGTCGATCTAGACATGTGTGTCCGTCCGTCCGTCTGTCCATTATAATTTGTAAACACGATACAGGCAACAGTTATGGACCAATCTTCACGAAATTTTGCATGTAGGATGGATTCTGGCCAATGAAGACCCCTATTGTTTTTGGGAAAGATCGGTTAATATTTAGGGGATGAAATGGACCAAATACTAAATTTTTGTCGGTTTTTCTGGTCGCTCCACAGGCCGCAATAATGGCCCGAACATCGTGAAATTTTGCATGGAGAAGGGGGTCGGGCCAAAGAATAAGCATGCCTGTTTTGATAAAGATCGGTCAATATTTAGCAGGTCAAATGACCCTGACTTTTGTGTGAAAAATTACAAAATTTGTATTCTATAACGTATATATTTACCCCTGAAGGACATAGACCCGAAAAGTTGATATTATATCCAAGAGGAGTGGTTGACCTTTAAATTAAGACCAATTATATTGTTGCATGTGCTCTGATGTGGGAGTTACACCTAAATATTTACAGATATCTCCGTATTTGTATGTTATTTAGTAACCCATTATCACTCTAGAGAGTCGAACATAGCGCTGATCGCTTTGAAATGTTTCATGAGGTTCCAGTTATGGTCAAGGACAACGCCTATAATTTTCGGTGATGATCAGATATTAATTTTGGAATGAAGTGGACCGAAAACTTAATTTTTGTGTTATTTTCGAGTCGATCTACAACAACACAACCCACGGTGAAGGGAATCTGGACAATAACTGTACTGAATACTCGTAATATTCGGAAAATATGTCAGTGTGAGGAAGAGGTGCTGTTTACCTCTAATCGGGCAAGAGTGTGCAAATATCACGAAATATTGCCCAGGCTCGGAATACACATCCGTAGAAAATTTGAGTTCAGTGGTAGTTGTGTAGGGTATCGTATGGTCGGCCCCGTCCGACTATACTGCTCCGCTCACTGGTTTAAAAAATATTTTTAAGGCAGACACTAAGTCTTGGATTTTTTAAAAAATATTCTTAAAGGCAGCCAACAAGGTGTGGATTAAAAAATATTTTAAGGCTGGCAAGAAGGCGTGGATTTTTTAAAAATTATTTTTAAGGCGGCCAGTTAAAAGGTGTGTAGTTAAAAAATATTTTTTTCTAGCCAATGAATATTGTTTTTGTTGGTTTTACTTACTTCGATTAACACCTTCAATATCATTAATTTTAATGAACATGGCCAATGAGATCTCATAAACTTTATTCGTATCCTGGAAGGGTGACATCATGGCCTCGGAGGTATCACGTCTTCTGCGGCCATAACCTATCTGGCCATTCGAACATTGGGTACCCAAACATTTGTCCAGACAAACATTGACAGTGGCACGGAATTGAACGTACGAGGAATCGGGGAATTTGAAAGCCTTGAATTTAGCACTCAATGTATCACCATCGATGGTATTGAAATTTTCGAAAAGATAGGGATCCACAGTGCATCTGAAAAAATTATAAAATATTATTTTATATAATAAAAACTAAAGAATATTTTATTTACTTACCCCTTGAATATAATAGTTTCCGACAATAACCGGGTATCGGTGACCTCCAAATAATTAACACCCAAACCATAAACGGGAGCCGATTCACGATCCAAACTAATTTCCATGGTTAGGGGTGTGCCAGGTGTTACGGTCAGATCACCCGTTACACGTTTACCATTTTGACTAACACCAATGGCCAAGCGGGGCTCAGGAGCCCGTTCTGTTAGGGATGTTGTTATTTCCAAGTCTCTGGAAAATGTCAAAAAGTAAACAAGTTAGCATTTAATTACACAGTGGCAGATGAGTGGTGCAACAAACAAATAGCCCAAAGCTTCTTGCTACATTAAGTGGCCCTTAAAACAGACATACACACGAATGCAAAAGAAGAAAAAAAACTGGAAATCAATTCCACTGTGGCCCACCATAATTATCATATACATTATGACGAGGGAAAATGATAGGCGTCTCCTGCTTGTCGTCTTAGATGACTGCGTAAATTATAGCAACCTGTTGACAATAATTATCCCTTAGAGTTGGTGCCCTGGCTACGATCGCCTATATTATTATCGCTTCTACTCTCCTCTGGGCCATAAATGTATGGTGGTGGCCATCATAATGATGGCCATAAAATTTAATCGCAAAACAACAACAAGAACAACGAATACTTGATGTGCAGCCCTTTTGAGCTTTTTCAACTCATAAAGTTGTTTTTCTTATTATTGGCAGATTAAAATTTAAATAGGTAATTTTGGTGTAATTTTTATTACTTCCTTTATAAAAGAACATTAAAAGGATATTGAAAATAAAGATGGTAATCGGAAATTTACTGTCATATATGGAAAACAATTTAAAAGCAGCAAGACGGCGTGGATTTTTTTAATTATTTTTTAAGACAACCAACAAAGCATTGATTTTTTTTAAATTATTTTTTTTAAGGCAGCCATAAAGGTGTGGATTTAAAAGAAAATTTTAAGGCAGCCAGGAAGGCGTGGAGATTTTAGAAATTATTTTTAAGGCAGCCAATAAGGCGTAGATTTTTTAAAAATTACTTTATGGATTTTTAAAATTTATTTTTCAGTCAGCTACCAAGGCTTGGATTTTTTTAAAAATTACGTTGTATATTTTTAATTTTTTTTTAAGCCACCTACCAAGGCTTCGATTTTTGAAAAATTACTTTGTAGATTTTTAAAATAAATTTATATTTATTAATTTTTTTAAGCCAGCTACCAAGGCTTGGATTTTTAGAATTTATTTTGACGGCAGCTACCAACGCTTTAATTTAAAAAAAAATAATAATTTTTATGAAAGCCACCAACCTGGCCACCACCTTGGATTTTTTAAATTTACTTCTATGGCAGCTTCACCACACTGTGGTACAGGATATTATGTCTTTGTGCATATGTTTGTAACAGGCAAAAGGAAACGAGATAGACGCATAGTTCTTTTTGAGAATATGCATAGAACCCTTTCTAAGTCGATCCGAAAATGATCCGAACTGGATGAAATTTGGCATAGGTTACTTATTTGGCCCAAGGACGAACCCTATTGAAATTGGGAAAAATCGGTTCAAATTTAGATATAGCTCCCATATATATTTTCGTCCGATTTAAGGTAAATGGTGCACTAAAGTCCCTAAAAATCTTTCGATTTGCACGAAATTTGAGATAGCGTACTATATTAAGTTTAGAAAGATGTGTGCTAAGTTTCGTGGAAATCGGTTCTGATTTAGATATAGCTCCCATATATAATGTTGTCCGATTTAATGTAAATGGTGAACCAAAGCCCCTATATATCTTTCGATTTGTAAGAAATTTGGCATAGCGTATTGAACTACGCCTAGAATGAAGTACGCGAAGTTTCGAGAAAAACGGTTCAGATTTAGATATAGCTCCCATATACATTTTCGTCCGATTTAAGGAAAATTTTGCACCAAAGTCCCTAAATATCGTTCGATATGTACAAAATTTGGCATAGTGTACTGAATTGAGTCTATAATGATATGTGCTAAGTTTCGTGAAAATCGATTCAGATTTAGATATACCTCACATATATATTTTCGTCCGATTTAGAGTAAATGGGTCACCAAAGTCCATATATCTTTCGATTTGCACGAAATTTGACACAGCGTACTAAATTAGGCCTAGAATGACGTACGTGAAGTTTCGTGAAAATCGGTTCAGATTTAAATATAGATCCCATATATATTTTCGTCCGATTTAAGGTAAATGGTGCGCCAAAGTCCCTAAATATTTTTCGATTCGCAAGAAATTTGTCATAGCATACTGAATTAAGTCTAGATTGAAGTGTTCGGTTCAGATTTAGATATAGCTCCCATATATATCTTCGTCAGATTTAAGGTAAATGGTGCGAAAGTCCCTAAATATCTTTCGATATGCACGAAATTTGGCATAGAATGCTGAATGATGTGTGCTAGTGTTTCGTTGAAATCGGTTAAGATTTTGATATAGCTCCCATGTATATTTTCGACCGATTTAATAGAAATGGTGCACCAAAGTTCTTATATATCTTTCGTTCAATTTCCTGTCAATGATCTTTGGAAAAGGCGACGTCTGTGAGGAGACTATGTAGAATATACCCAAAGTGATGAAGGGTGTCATATAGTCGGCCCAGTCCGACTTTTCTTACTGGTTACAATTTATTTTTATGACAGCCATCAAGGCATGGATTTTAAAAAAATATTTGTTAATACTATTTGTATTTGCCTTTAATTATATTAATTTATTTTTTTCATTTGGGTGGCATTCAATGAATAACTGTGGCAAAAATAACTGACCATTATTTATACCCTAAAGAAATTGGTCTGTCTAACAACAACTACAAATCGTGACGTCATTTTCCATTAATGTTAGCTTTTAAATAAAATATCAATGACCAGCATACAAACAAACAGAAAACTCAATATCCTGGGGATTTAAAATAAAAATAACAACAACAGCAATAATAACAGCAAAAGAAAACTTACTCTGGCTCTTGAAATCCAGCTGGCAGAACATCACGCCTCACAATGCCATGATGTTGTTGTGGTAGTTGTTGCTGATCTTGTAAAACAAAACGTGGTTGCTCTTGGGCAGTTTCATTCATCATTAAATTGAAAACCGGACCACTGGTGATGCATTTAACACTGACAATTTCTTTGCCGTTCGACGATTGAATTATGATTTTGTGATAATAGACTTTTTTGCCCTGCAAAAAAAAAATATTATTTATACGAGATGATAAAATAAATAAACATTTATCTATATTTTGGAAGGTGGTGTAAGTCCACCACTCCAAATCTCCAGTTAGTGTGTAGTTTTTATTTACTCACCGTTAACTGATTGACCATACGTGTCACACCACACTCATAGAAATCCGTCAACGATAAACGGAATATGGCTAGGGAACCGTTAATTTCGGGATGGCAACGCTCATCCGGATAGCCCTTAAGGCCTTCCAAATAGATTTGTGGCTTTTCATTAGTCAAGTCGTCGGCACTGCTACTACTGCTGCTGCTAACAATCGGTTCTGGCAGGCCAATTTCAACGCGCATTAAATCTTCACTGCAATGAACTTTGTGTGTGCCTGGAATACATAATTAGAGAGGGAGAGAGAGAGACGAGTTAAAAAAGAGAGACAATAAATAAATTGTGTAAAAAACATTATAATTTCATATTTAATAAATACAACGCCATGGAATAAAGCTTATTATCTGTAAAAAAGCAACTCGTCATCAAGAAATTTGTCATATTATTCTGTCAAAAAAAAAGAAGGAAAGAAAAACTGACTTCTAAACAAAAGACTTAAACAACAAACGTGAAACACCACACACAACCTTCACACTCATGGGCATTGAGAATATTTTTAGAGTGTGTGGGTGGGTGGTTGGCGGTTGGTATGAGGGAAACAATGTCTTGTTTTTTATTATGATAAATAAAAAAAAAAAAAAAAAACAAAAGACTTAAGCTACAAACATGAACTTAAACAAAATTCTTTTCAGCTGTTTTTTAATGTAAGCTAAACTGATGACTTTACTTGGCGAATGCGACCAAGCTACAAAGGAACAAAATGTGGGAAGTTGCCACGGCCATAACTGTAATGTCGTTGTTGGCGTGATTAACGCATTGAAAATGAAAATTCACGGAAACAAATCTAAACACTTGATGTAATCCATTTAAATTAAAATTTCTTATTTAATTGTGTGAAAATAGTTTGTCAGTCACTCAGTTTTGCAATTAATTGTATGAATAACTTTGGAGAATAATAAATTATTATAAAATAATGGAAAAGTAATTGGATGTTGCACGTATAAATAATATGCAATATGTGATTTTTTTAATATGGTAGGTACGTGGATTGCTAGCTATATTTCGAAGACATTAATAATGAAGAATAATAAAATAACTAATTTTACAAAAAAAAAAAACATTTTTTACAAATTTTTTTAGAATTTTTTCCATCTAAAATGTGCTTATCTTAAGCTAATTTCAGATTTTTATACCCTTCACCACACTGTGGTACAGGGTTTTATGTCTTTGTGCATATGTTTGTAACAGGCAAAAGGAAGGAGAATATTCATAGAATCACTTTTTAAGTCGATTTATGCATGTCCGTGCGTCCGTCTGTCCATGTTAAATTGTTAACAAAGTACAGGTCGCATTTATGATCCCAATTGGATGAAATTTGGCACAGCTCATTTGTTTGGCACAAGGACGAACCCTATTGAAATTGGGAAAAATCGGTTCAGATTTAGATATAGCTCCCATATATATTTTCGTTCGATTTACGGTAAATGGTGCACCAAAGTCCCTAAATATCTTTCGATTTGCACGAAATTTGGCACAGCATAATGAATAAGGTCACGAATGATGTGTGCAAAGTTTCGTGAAAATCGGTTCAGATTTAGATATAGCTCCAATATATATTTTCGCCCGATTTAATGTAAATTGTGCACTAAAGGTCTAAAGATTGGCCGACCCGCACACAATTTTCTGCAATGTACTGAAGATATTATAACCTTTCGTGTGTCAAGTTTTCTTGAAATTGATACAGATTTACATATAGTTCTTATATATACTTTCGTCCGATTTTATGTAAGTGTTGTACTAAAGATAGGCCGATTGGCAAAACGTACTGAAATTAGTATAAATTAATCTCGGCAAGTTTCCTTGAAATTGGTTCAGATTTAGATATATCATAGCTTCTACATATAATGATGATCCTTCGAAAAGACGACATCTGTATATATACATATGTATATATACAGAGTGAAAGTGGTGAAGGGTATCATATAGTCGGCCCAGTCCGACTTTACTACTTTCCTTACTGGTTTTTGTTGAAGAATATTGCATAGTTTTCTAAACAATGTCGGCCTTCTTGACATTGTTTTTACTAAAGCAATTTATAGCCTACCCAACTATGTTGTCAGGGTATTTGTGTGGGCCCAACACCCACTTTTCTCGACCAGCTGATCTAGACATGTGTGTCCGTCCGTTTGTCCATTATAATTTGTAAACACGATACAAGTCACAGTTGTGGAACAATTGTCACGAAATTTTGTGTGTAGGACGAGTTCTGACCAAGAAAGACGCCTATTGTTTTTGGTAATGACCTATTAATATTTAGGGGATCAAATGGACCAAAAATATTATTTTTCTCTGCTTTTGTGTGATTATGACCCGAACCCCACGAAATTTCACACCAGGAATGGAATATGACCAAAAAGTAAGCATGACAGTTTTATTGAAGATCAGGATCCAGACTTTTCTGTGCAAAATGACAAAATTTATATTCTTGGCGTATATATTATTACTGAAGGACATATAACCGAGATGTTGAGGATTGGTTGACCTTTAAATTGATCCCAATTATATTGTTGTATGGAGTTATACGTAAATATTTAAAGGTGTCTATGTTTTATGATATTGTTTAGTATTATTATTACCCCACGCTGATCGCTTCGACATGAAGTTCCAGTTATGGTCAAGAACGACGCAAGACAACGAAGAACCACGAAAATATTTTCGTGATGTTGAGATGATATTTAGGTTGTGCAATGATCCGAAAACTTTAACATCATATATTATGCACGGTGAAGGGGATTTGACCAAATACTTAGAACGGCTGTTAAGATGATAATCGGTCAATATTGGGAGGGTAAAATCAACCAAAACGTAAAGTGACCAATTTTTTTATGGTGTAAATATTCGCTTCGGGAAAACAGGATTTTGAAAATATTCCGAAGAGTTAGAAAGTGGAGCTGTTGACCTATAGTCGGACAAGAGGGTGCAAATTTCACGAAATATTGCCCATGCTCGTAATATAGAACCACAGAAAGTTAGATTTTCGTGGTAGATGTGTAGGGTACTAGAGTTGGGTAGTTCCGGAACGAACTAGTTCATTGGAACTACTCTAAGAAAGGAACGATCGGAACTAGTTCCAGCTCTTTAATTAATATAGTTCCTTTTTCTGATCTCGTTCTTTTTTCCTTTCCTTTTTTTCTTGTTCTTTTGTGAGCGAAAAAAACAAAAAGAATGATGAACGAGAGAGATTCAAAGGAACTATGTAGGAGTGGGAACTATATGGAGCAAAGGAACTATTTGGAGCAAAGGAACTATATGGAGTACAGGAACTATATGGAGCAAAGGAACTCATGGATCAAAGGAACTATATATGGAAAAAACAAAAAACGAAAAAAAAAGAACGATGAAAGAGAGAGATGCAAAGGAACTATATGAAGCGAAGGAACTATTTGGATAAAAGGAACTGTATGGAGCAAAATAACTATATGGAAAAAACGAAAAAAAGAACAAAAAGAACGATGAAAGAGAGAGATTCAAAGGAACTATATTGGAGTCGGAACTATATGGAGGAAAGGAAATATTTGGAGCACAGGAAATATAAGGAGCAAAGGAACTGTATGGAGTAAAGGAACTATATGGAGCAAAGGAACTATATGGAGCAAAGGAACTACATTAAGGAACTAGTTCCTTTTTAAAAAAGGATCGAGAAAGATCGATCCGCTAAATGAACTAGATTGCGCAACTCTATAGGGTACCATATGGCCGGCCCCGTCCGACTATACTGGTTTTGTATTATCATTAAGAAACTAATAATCTTGCCCTTAAACGAAATGGAATTCAAAATATTTTTTTTTTTTTGAAAAAGTGGCGAACTGTAAACTAAAATCTGTAAAATTTGTCATTTCGCTTGTCACACCTCGAAATATTCATCTGAGACCCCATAAATATATATTCTTGATTCGAAATATATTTTGTGTCGATTTAGGAATGTCCGCCTGTAGATAGATACAGCTGGCAAATATAGAGATAGATTGGAGATAGATAGAATTTTGCACATACATTGCAACTACTCCTAGGATGTTTGGTATTACAATTGGGATATATCGGTCCAGTTTACAGAGTAGACCCATCTAATAGACGGCGTTTTGAAGACTTTGGACACGTTTTGCAACCTAATCAGCGATAATTTGGCATTGTGGGTTTTTACCGAATAGAAAATCTTTGGACAATTTTTTAAAAAAATTATTTGAAATTTGATATTAGGTATTTTCATTTGGCAGAAAATTGCCTTCCATATATTTTCAATGTGAAGGCATGTTTCGGGATAGACCCCATATAACAGTTCCTTCCCAATATTATGTATTTTGGACCTTATGGATTATGTATTTTGAACCTAATCGGCTGTAACTTGATATTTTGGGTTCACGCTGGGTAGGGAAATCTTCATACTGAAAATTCTCAATATTAGTCCACGTTATATAAATAAAACGCAACACCCCTAATGTCGGTATTTTGGGCACGGCATGTGGGTTACTCAATGGGTAGAAAACCTCCCGACCACAAAATTAATTGATTGATTTATGTTTCGGGGTAGCATCCACAAAGCTATACACCTCCATTATTCGATATGTTGGACACGTTTTTCAACCCAAGTCGTTATTATGGGTTATCGAGAGGTGAAAATCGTCGCCTAAAAAGTAGTACTACCCATCCATGTTAGATGGTAAAGGTACCACGCCGAAATCGGCCGATATTTCGAACAAACTGGAGCGGTTATAAATACAGTAAGGCTTGTGCAAAACCGTTTCGCTTGTTCTGCGGGAAATACCGCTTCTGTTAGTGAAAGTGTTGCCTGAAAGTGTCGTTTCCTTGTTTATGGCGTATTTTGAATGTAGCTCCCATACCTACAGTCATGCAAAGTGTAGCTCACGCAAGAATACGACTTGGAAAATATGGTTTCAACAAGACGGTACCACACAACTCGTAGGAATGTGGTTTTATTGCAAGAGACTTTTCCAGGTTGCCAAATTTCTCGTCGTGAAGTTATGCGACTACTCCCACCAAAATACTAAAAATAGGAAGGCGAGGTTTTAAAATATGGATTTATATGGAGATTTTTCTGCGATCCACCAAAAATCCGGAATATTAACTTAAAGCCACTTCGGTTGGAAAATGTGCTCAGGACCATGAATATACCCAAAATGGGCCGGAAACATCTTTTGCAAAGATTTTGTTATCATCGTAGAATGGCGATGGGCATAAAAACAAAAGACTTAGACGACA